AATACGACTAACGTACAACCTAGCATACACAATGCTATGGACTAAAATGGCATACACGATGCACGTGATGTAACATGGCATACGCAATGCTCTAAAATGTAACCTAACATACACAATGCTATGAAATGGCATACACAATGCACAATGGACTTACACCAACATGAGTGGACCTCAGCCACACTCACATCAGTGGCCATTAGATGAAAATGAGACAACCGAAATGCGTGCAAACATGCACGGATGCAAAGGACCGATCCTAAGGCATGACATGCAACTCTAACTAAGCATAACAGAGGATGAAGTATGGCATAGAATGGCACATGATACAGCTCTGAAACATGATACAAAATGGTCCCGAAACATGCAAACATGGCGCACAATGCAAGTTAAGGGGCCCGGGTACCGAAACTAGTGAAGTGCGTTACTCTAGAGGTACCAAAAGCAATGCACCAAAAGCAAAACCAACCCCAAATAGACCCTAGGAAGGTCTGAAATTGTGGGAAATTGACCTAAAATGATGGCTCGGAATGCAACGAAATGGAGCTCATTCAATGGTCGGTATGTGTGATTGGTGGCACATACCGAAGATGGCAACATGACATTTAAACAAGCTCTGAAATGTGATAAATGATAGGCTCAAAGCATGGAAATATCTCAGTACATGCATGCAACGAACCTCAAAACTCGAAGATAGGCAAGTGCATTGAACTACAAGCATGCAAAACTAACATCATTCAACTACAAGACCCAAAAAAAGAGCTAGGATAGTCCAAAATGAGCACATTATCAGTTCAAGGCATAGCCAAAATATGCTAGAATCAATGGCCTATAAAGCATGCAAAGAAAGCTAGTGAACCATGAGTTGTTCTACAACTATATGAAGCATATAAGGGCTCACCCAACCAGCTAAAAATAGATGTATGCCATACCAAAATATGCCCAAATAACTACTGAAACTCAGTCAATACATGCAAAAATGATGAGCTCCTTTGGAAGGCCATGCAAGGGGTTACTCTACACCTATAACAAGGACACTCAGCATGGCAAAACCAACTCTGGAAATCAAATACGACAAGCCTAAAACTCACCAAATTGGCCCTAAAATGGGTCAATGAAGCATACAATGAAAGGCCCCCTCAAAAGGCCTTGAATAGAATTGTTCTACACATGCATTATGGACACAAAATAAGACCAAAGAGGCTCTAGACAGAGCTAAGGCAGGCCTTGAAACTCACCAAATTAAGCCCAAAAAGTGACTTCACAACATGCAAGTGAGGGTCCCTTTGGGAGGCCAACAAAGCTAGTAAAGAGAATGAGGGGTGAGAGGGTCACCCCTCTATGATTTTGAAGCTCAAAGGCACATCTAAGCCACTATTTCAGTGGCTAAAAGGCCAAATTAAGGCCAATGCAAGTGCTCACATGCATAGCTCAAAACATGAGAAAATAAGGCATGAAAGGGCGTAGATGACCCCAAACAGAGAAATTATCTTAAACAAACATGTTTATAAGCTCAAAAGGAAACTTTTTCAAGTTTATGACAAATCTCGAAAATGGTCACAAGTAGGGCTAAGATATGATGCAAAATAAGCCTACAAAGAGGGACAAAGCATACAAGGGTGTAGGAGACCTCAAACAGAAACGTATCCTTAATCATTATTCAAGAAGAGCTCAAAATATGACACTTTTTAGCTTATAAAAAAGTCCAAAAATACTTGCAAGTAAGGCTAATCAATAGAGCAAAAAAAATACAAGTTTAAAGGAAATAGGTGCTTACCCTTGAAGAGCAGCAAAGCTGGAGCTTTTGGACCAAGTTGGTGAACCTTCAACCCTTTCAAATCAGTCCCAAAGTGCTGGAATGGATGGAGGAGGTGCGGTGCTAAGGGTTGTAGTGCAAATGGTCTAAGAAAACTAGGATTTGGAGGCTCAAGTGTAGAGATATAGAGAGAGAGATGTATAAGCTCTAACCAAAAGGTTCAACCCTTGCAATGGAAGCTCAGCCCCTCCTTTATAGAGGAGAGGCTCTAAAGCTTCTTAAGGAAGCTAAAAACCAAGCCCAAAGATCCTCCATACACGTGTATGGAGGATCACTTCTGAGGCTTCCAGCTGGCACAGCTGGCTTACACTCAAAGAGACCAAAAAGCAGGAAATAGGTCGGCCAGTTCAAGTGGCCTGCTGGCCATTCCTCCTGGTCGGCTGACCAGGGGTCAAAAGGTTCAAGAAGAATTGCTGGCCGGGCACCCCAAAAAGGTGGCCTCCCAGATGAGTGCAACACAGCTGTATAGTGAAAAACCAGAAAATGTGACCCAAGAGAGAGAAAAACCAACTTTTTAGCAAGGTTCAAAAGGGTCAAGATGAATTACTGGTCGGCTTACCCATATTGGTGGCCTCCCAGATGAGCACAACACAATAGTGGAATGAAAAGCCAGAAATTGTGGCTCAAAAGTGAGAAAAAACAGCTTTCTGTCAAAAAAACCGGCTTTTAGAGAGAGAAAAAAAGAAAACTGGTTTTTCAGGAGTAAAGGTGGCCTCCCACCATCCTACCACCTCCCTAGCAATGAAAATAGGGTCCCTACCAAAAATGGACCAAGACGGATGCAAAATGAGGGTTCAGGGGCCAAAACGCGCAGTCTGGGGCCCCGAAAACAGGCTGTCAGGCACCAGAAGTGGCGTATGACCACGAAGGTGGTCTCCCGGGCCACAGTGTCCCTCAAAAGAGAGGAAAAAAGGTTTGTGCCAAAAACCGAAGCAAACGGAGGTAGTTAAGCGGTCCCGAATCGAGGCACATGGCCGACGGCTCCGAAAACTAGAAACTGGTCTCCAAATGGGAAAAATGGCCTACGGCCACGAAACGTAGCCTACGGCCACTGAGAGATGGTCTATGAGACCTCTCCCTCCCTTCGCGAAGAGAAAACAGAGAAAATAGGACCTGGTTCGTAAATCGAGGCAAAGCACAAAAGAGTCCCAAAGTCCGGGAGCAAGGCTCGCAGCCGAGACTCCTTAACCTCAGAACGAGCACAATATGCAACATCACCGAGCGCTCAGTTGGTGACGTCTGAGTCTTAAGGTCGGTCAAAAATGGGGTGTCTACAATAGGTCGGCCCAAAGACCTATTGGTCTGGTTCAACTTCACCACAGCAATCCATAAGGTTCAACTCCTTATACAATCCATAACTTACCAACATTCTTATGTCCAGCAAGAAAGGAGAAGCTGAAGGCAAAAGAAATATTAGCACCAAGAGCACAGTTACAGAAAAAGAAAACGAAGGCGAAGTTCGGGGTCACCAAGAGATTGGGGAAAATCACTGAACTTGAGAAAATAAGCTATTTTTAGGTCAGCTGTAGCTGTCATTTCACTATCCATGGCAAGTGGAAATAGCAGGGGACGAAGAGTGTTATCGAAGGCAGAGGTATCTATTCAAATATGTAAAGCCTTGGTCTTGACTGTGAAGGTAAAGAAGAGGAGGTGCTTAGCAAGTTATATGTTCTGGAAGCTTAAGATCAACAGAGAGTAAGAAAAAAGAAAGGGGATGAAAGCTAGACTTTTATACCCAGCTGATCAAAAGTGATTTTTATACTCATGACGATACAATCATGGAATGTGAGAGGAATTGGAAGATCCGAAAAAATAAGGAGGATTAAGAAAAGCCTTTTAGATAGAAAGTTGATATTGTGTTACTTCAAGAAACCAAGAAGACACCAGTGGATTCTGACTTGGTTAGGTCTATGTGGCCTGGGGATTATATTGATTTCATGGGAGTTAATGTGATTGGTCGAGCTGGAGAACTATTATGTATTTGGAACCCAGAATAGGGTGCTCAAGAAGGGATAGAGGAATGAGGGACTTTAATAATATGATTGAACAGCTAGAGTTGATAGATATGCCTATGTTGGGAATGAAGTTTACGTGTATAATTCTCAAGCAATGGAGAAATGGAGCATAATAGATAGATTTTTACTTAATTATGAGTGGGTGTAGAATTTTTCTTTCAAATTATGGGAACTTCCTAGATTGTTGTCTGATCACTGTTCTATTATATTAACGGAGGATGATAGGGACTGGGGCCCTAAACCCTTTAGGTTTCTTAATGCCTAGCTTTTACATCCAAAATTCATCTCATTTGTTCAGAAAAGTTGGTTAGAACTTGTCGTGGAAAGATGTGCAGGGTATAAGTGTCTTATGAAGTTTAAAGCACTAAAACAGGCACTTAAGCAGTGGAATGTGGTGGTGTTTGGTAGGATTGAATTGAAGCTAAAGAGTGTGGAAGATGAGGCTTATGCTCTAGATATGTTAGCTGAGGAGAGACCACTACTTGATACAGAATTGATTAGAAGAAAGGAAGTGAAGGGTGACGTTTGGAGTTAAGTAAAATGTTGGAATGGATTTGGTTACAAAAATCTCAAGTGAATTGGGCAGCTAAAGGGGATAAAAATACAAGGTTCTTTTATATTATGGCATGTAGTAGGAATAGTAGTAATTCTCTGTGTTCAATAGCTGTGAATGTTCTACTGTTTGAGGAGCCTTTGGAAATTAGGGATGCAGTTGAGGCTCATTTTATGAAGATATTTTTTGAAGATTGGAAAGTCAGACCCAAATTGTCTGGCCCTTTCAAGAGCATAGGAGGAGCTCAAGTTGTGGCACAATTGGAGGTGGAATTTACAGAGGAGGAGATCTGGACTGTTATAAAGTGTTGTGATGGTAATAAGGCCCCTGGGCCTGATGGTTTCAACATGTCATTCTTTAAGAAATGTTGGCAAATTGTGCGGGTTGATGTGTTACAGTTTATGAGGGAGTTCCATTAGAATGCTAGTTTGGTTGGAGGGATTAATAGCTCTTTCATAGCTCTAATTCCAAAAGTTTTAAGTCCTTCTTGCTTGAATGAATATAGGCCCATTAGCTTGATTGGCTCCTTGTATAAAATTTTAGCTAAGGTGCTAGCTAACAGAATGAAAAAGGTGATGCCCAAGATTATTGGTGAGGCTTAGTCAGCTTTTTTGGAGGAATGAACATTTTAGATGGCATTCTAATTGCTAATGAAATAGTGGATGGGTGGAAACGATCTAGTCAAAAAGGTTTGGCGCTTAAGTTGGATTTTGAAAAACCCTATGACTCTATTAACTGGGAGTTTTTATTAGATTTGTTGTCGAAGTTTGGCTTTGGAACTAGATGGGCTAGTTGGATGAAAACTTGTGTTTCCTCTGCTAAGATCTTTGTCCTGGTGAATGGGTCACCAACACCTGAGTTTTGTCCACAAAGAGGTCTTTGACGAGGAGATCCATTGTCACCATTATTATTCAACATTGTAACAGAGGGTCTTAATATTTTGCTGAGCAGGGCTAAGGAGTTTGGCCTTATTAAAGGGGCAACAGTGGGTTCTAATGGCCTGAGAGTCACACATTTTCAATTCGTGGATGACACAATTTTGTTCTGTGACGCGGATAGGGTGGGGGTGACCAACATTAAAAGAATTCTAAGATGTTTCGAAATTTCTTCAGGTCTGAAAATCAATTACCATAAGAGTGCCATATGTGGTGTTGGGGGTGGAAGAGGAACTGGTGCAGGAGTTTGCTTCTTGTTTAAATTGTCTTCATCAAAAGCTGCCTCTCAAATACTTGGGGCTTCTTTTGGAGGCTAACCCCTTCAGGAGGAGTACTTGGAAACCTATTCTTGACAAGTTCAAACAGAAATTATCCACATAGAAGAGAAGGTTGTTATCCTTTGATGCGCTCTTAATTTTAATCAAATCAGTAATGTCTACTTTACCTATCTATTATTTATCATTGTTCAGAATTCCGGTTGGAGTGGCTAAGGAGATTAAGAGATTACAATCATCTTTCCTTTGGGGTAGCTCTAATCTTAGAAGAAACATACATATGGTCCAATGGGTGGTGGTTACTAAGAATAAGAAACTAGGTGGGTTAGGTGTAAGGAGGATTAAAAATTTGAATCAATGTCTCTTATTAAAATGGTGGTGGAGATTTGGCGTTGAGAATCAATCTCTTTGGAAGGAAGTGATTTGTGCAAAATATATGCTTGTGGATGGAAGATGGCTCCCAAAACTAATAGGCAGAGGATCAAAGCTCTGGTCTGATATAATACATGTTGTTTTATCCAATCCAGAGTTGCATCAATTTTATATTAATAATTCTCAGATTGTTCTGAGGGATGAGAGAAGAGTTCTTTTATGGAGGGACAAGTGGGTGGGTAATATACGTTTAATGGATGAATTCCATAGGTTATTATTATTATCTAATGATAAAAATGGTGTGGTTAGTGTATTTTTTGAAAGAAGGGCAGAGGATGGTGGATGGAACCTGGGATTTAGAAGATCTTTGCTGGTTTGGGAGGAAAAAGAAGCTTATAGATTATTCAACCTGCTTAGCACTACACCAACAATGTGTAGTTCCTAACCCGACAAGCTTAAGTGGTGTGCAGACCATCTAAGCTTTTTACTGTTTCATCAGTATATAAATGGATCGAATCACTTATGGGGCCTGCAGTACCAGTGGCTGCCTCAATTTGAAACAACTTTGTGCCTTCAAAAGTGCAATTCTTTAGGTGGTTGGCTTGGCTTGGTAAGGTTAAAATCTCTACTTTCCTCCATAGAATTGGAGTCCTAGCAGGGAGTGAAAATCTTGGCTGTGTGTTTTGTCATAATGAGGTTGAAACAATGGAACATATTTTGCTTTACTGCCCTTTTATGTGGCTGCTTTGGTCTGACATTATGCACTGTTGGGGATTGCAATGGGTGATACCAGGTTTAGTGCATGGTTTGCTACAATGGTAGTCTGGATATAGAATGAAGAAGCTGGAGAAGAAAATCTAGATGGTTATACTTTTGGCCACTCTCTGGTCCACATGAAGGCATAGAAATGACTGTGTTTTTAATGGTTCTCAACCAAATTTGGAAGCTCTGTGTGAATTAGTGAAGGTTAGAGTTTCTATATGGCTCAAAGCATCGCAAATTTAGGTGGAATTTTCTATAAATGATTTAGTCTTTAATCTGCGACAAGTGAAGTATTGTATCAGAAATGGAGGCTGAATGTTATGGCTCAAGTCTGGTGTTTTGTTTTGGTCTCATTAATTAAGCAGGGCTACTGAATGAGGGTTGCTTGTTGTTTTGAAATGTTCGGTTAATTTGAATGGAGTTCATGGCAGCAGGGTTTTTGAAATGTTTTGAAATGCTTGCTGGTTTATTGCACTAGCTTCTTGCTGGTACAGAACGTCGTAGGATTGGATTGCTTAGCAGTGGCTGCAACTCATGGGTGAAATGTTATGTTGCTCAGTTGATGTGAAGTTTTTGCTCATGGCTGCAACTCATCGGTGAAATGCTCTTCTGGTTTTTGAAATGCTCTGTTACTCAGCTGGTTTGTTGTTCAGCAGTGGTTTACTTGCTGGTCTTTCTTTTCTTTTGCTCTGTTTGTTGGTCTCTCACCAACTAGAAGGTTGGAGCTTGACATAACTCCAAGCTCCTCTTTATTGATGTTATTTATCATACTTTGTATATGTTTCATAATTAAAGTCTTCTTTTTGCCGACCAAAAACTGATATTTCAATGATGTTTAGTAGTTGAGTAAATTTACATATTTGATTAATGAAATTTATTAATAACACCTTGCTTGTTTCCACTTTTCAAAAAACACTTTTTCAGAAAATTCTACTTTCTTATTTTCCGTGTTTTTTTGTTTTTACTGAATTTTTTTAATATTTTAAGCAATTTTTTTTACTTTTTAGACACACCTAACATAAATATACCTAAAAAGTAAAAAAATTGTAATTTTTTTTTTTAAAATTCACTAAATACCAAAAATATAAAAAATACAAAAATTCAGTATATTTTTTTGTATTTTTATGTATTTATTAATTTTTTAAAATATTTTTTACTTTTTAGATACATCTAAGTAAGGTGCATCTAAAAAAGTAAAAAAAAATGTTTAAAATTTAAAAAATATTCACTAAAAACAAAAAAATACGAAAACCAAAAAAATCAGTTTTCAAAAAATTTAATCTAGAAAACTCAAACCAAACAAACTGATTATGTTTTGGAAAAATTTAATCTCCACACTTTGTTTTAAATTTTACTTTGATTTCTCTAATTTTACACATAATTTTTTTAATACAAAATGTTAACAACATTTGATGGAAGGATCACATTGCAATAAAATTGAAATTGAAAGTGTAACGACCAAATTGTTTAAATTAAAATTATTGAAACTAAAATGACATTTCACTTAAATTACAAGAACAAATGATTAAGTAATTTATCCAAAAAATTATTTTAGAAAAAGTAATCAATCTTTAATGGTTCATATCCTACTAATTTTAAATTTATACAATACATACACTTTCAAGATAAATTTTCATGATTGATGACATTTTGGATATACAAAGTAAAAGGAAGACTAACAAGATTGACTTGAAAAATATCATGTATAGTGACTCTGAATTTTATTTTAAAAATGAGATGAGTAATATAAATTTAAAATTGATAGAATATTTGTCACACTTAAAATTATTATGGTTCATAAATACACTTTATATTATTAGATTGACGTAGCTTGTTCAATAATGTTTAAATATATAATTTTAGATTAATTATATTTTTTATCTTTAAAATATAAGCCTTGCATCATTTTAATTCACAGTATACATACAAATGGAGGAAGACGACGACGACCAAGACCAAGACCAAGATGAAGACGTAGTGGGTTATCCACTCCACGTTTATCTGCATATCATGTAGTGATATGCAGCTGTCGGCTTGGGCTATGTTTGGGATATTTTGGGTTAAAATAATTATATAAAATAAAATTAGTTATTTTAGTTAAATAGGATAAAATATTACATTCAATTCATAATTATTTTATTTTTTTTTAATAAAAATTAAAAAAATCAAAAAAATTATTCCAAACAAAATATTTTAACTCCAAACTAAAATAATTAAAAAAACTAAAAATTAACTCATATCTCAAACAAAACGCGAGCATAGAAAATTGGTCCTGGAAGAAGAGCCGCCAAATTCTATCACAACCGTGTTGGTGGGTGGCCAACATGCTGGTATGGTGTTGGTCATAGCAGGTATTCATTCTTCTCTTGTGTTTTTTTTTTTTTTTCTACTTTTTCAACTTCTTGTCTATTTTTCCTATTTTTATGAAATGTCGAAAAAAAATAAATAAATAAAGAAAGAGGGGGTGTTGTCTAAAAAAAATTCAAAATTTGACTTTTAATTTAGATGCCAAAATAGTTGTATGTCTGTTCATTAGTATTTTATGATTTATTTAATTATTTTTGAACCATGTAAATATTTAGTTCTTAATATTAGAGAGACATGGGTAAATATCCAGATAATGCTGGACCATCCATATCAACTATCCAGGTCACCCAAGTTAAATGAAATCACGAGAATGCTATGCCCCCAATCTGTACATCAACAGAC